TTATTTTATTTTCTTAAATTCTGTATCATTTCTAATTTTTTGTTTTATTTCCCATTTTGTATTCTCCTTGAAAAGATAGAAAGAAAGAAAGAGTGAAAGAAAAGTGAAGGTTGAATGAATGAGGGAAAAACCTGCTTAGTAGAGCAAAGGTGGGCAGAACAAAAGAAAAAGATAAAAGCAAATCTGTAAAAGGTTCTAGTCAACAACTTCTGACATTGCCAGTCCTATGGATAACTCTCTACTATTATGGACTACTGGACTATTTTGGAATGTTTTGCTGAATTCAGGCACCTACAATATTTAAATGACAATGGAATACCCTTCTCTGACAAAACTAAAAAAAAAAAGGGGGATGCAAATGAAGGACCACTTTGCATCTGTATAAACAAAATAGATATACAGCGACTTTCTCTTAATTCAGTGAATGGAAAGATTTGTACTAATAGTGCTTGTGGACAGGATACCATATCTGCATCTTGTACTATGAATAGCCACTACAAAAACAACAATATGCAATGTATTAATTATCAAAACTGTGCTACTAATCGGTTTTGAAACTGTTTCATTGCTATTTGTTTCTCTATAAAATTATTTTAAAAAGAGTGACAGTACATGATGCTGGCCACAGGTGCTGAGCTCAATTCCCTGCAGAGAGTAGGGTTTCTGCTGGCAAGTAGCCTGGGGGCTGGGAGAGTCAGGGCCAGCTGGATCCTTATACATCTGTTTATAAACTTTATAACTATTGCTTGTCAAAGTTCTAATGTTTTAGGGCACTGAGCACAAACATATATAAGAGTAACCTTGACAACCGAGTAGACTTGATTTTATATAAGATAAGCCTACAAGCCACTCTTATAAATCTCTGTTATTGCTCATAATAAAAAGGGCTTCACAGACTCCAGGCATCTGTCACAACCCCTGTAATATGAACATGTTCTTACTGACAATCACTGTGGAAAGCTGCTGTGGCATATGGGACCGGGCTGCAGGTGATGAACTGGCTCTGCCTTCAGAAAACAAGAACTCAGAGACCAAAGGGGAAGTTGTGAACACCAAAGTCACCTGTGTGTCAATCCTACTGAAATAAGAAGAGCTGCACAGGTAATACAAGTGGGTTCTTATGCATGACTGCCTAAAAGCAAAAAGCCCTGTTAATAGTCACATCACTTAGATCTCTCTTGATTTGGGCTTTTATTTGTGTTCAACTTCACAGCTTTTAGTGATCTTTTTTTCAGGTTCAATATCTGCCTTCTCGTTGCATGTGCTGCAACTGTTTTTGATGGAATCTATGCAAGAATGCAATGTAAGACATCCAACCAGATGATGTGGCATCTCAAGCCCTCTGGATTGAGGGCTCAAATAGGATATTTTTTTCCCTCCGAATGCCTTCAGGGCAGGTTTGGCTGGCTTGAGTTGTGGGGATAGAAGCACAGCAACCTGAGCCTGACTGCTTTGTTGAAGCAGCCACTCAAAGAACTGAGCTAAGGGGCAGGCCCCCTGAGGGCTCAAATAAAGCAGGGGAGGAAGGAGGGAATAATACCTGACCCTATAAAATGGAACGTTAGAAGTTAGTTAGGATTTTTTTAGAATTAGACAACTTGCCCAAACTTCCTCCTATTGCAGCCATATCCTTCCTCTTCAAAAGAAGTGACAAAATATGCAGGTGCCAGGAGACTGTTTTCCACAAAAGAGAAGCGTGAGTTGGAAATGACTGGAAGTGGACAACCAAGTGTGAAGGTCTGCATCATCTCTTCCTGCTCCCCTCTCCTCTGTACCTTCCTATAAAAAAGCCTTATTCACCTGGAAATGTTTAGATGGTGTTTTGAGGCAAATAAGCTCCTCTATCTCATCAGAGCAAGCTTTAAATAAATCCTTTATCTTTACCCAAAAATATGGCCTTCTTTGGTTTTTTCCAGTAGTGAGCAGACAAACCTGAAAATATGAATCTAAGCAGGTGGTAACAATAGCTCTCCGAAACAGCAAGAGAGACAGTCCCTGATTAATCAGGCTTTCAGAATTTAAGTGATATGCCCTTTAGCTCAGGTCCCTCTCCCAGGGTCTAGGTGTGATTGATAGGAATGATTGACAGTGTGCTGAGTCATCTTAGAGTGTCTAAGCATGCAGGCTTGTCCCAGAGTTCACTCTGATTCTAATTGCATGCCTGGTGTATAGTACATATTTATGAACCTATAACAAGGTTTTGTTGTAGGCAGCTAAGTTAGATAAAATATAGGCAGTATAATAGGGCCAGGCCCTCAAAGGAGCCAGTGCAGAAGATAAGATACCTTGCAGCTGTGGGAGAGTCAGGGACTTCCCTTTGGTCAGACCTCAAGACAAAAAGATAAATGTACCTCCCTAAAGACAAATCTCAGGGATTGATATTTTAAATAGGTCTCTATCACCTTCAGAAAGTCAGAAAGAGCCTCTAACCCAAACCCCTACAGGAAGAGGCCTATTCTGCATTCATGCCTGCTTGCTACACTATTTGATTCCAATTTTATCAATTTTACCTGAGCAATAATACTTGTAATCTTACTGATTGATCATAATTTTGTCCCACTCCAGGCCCACCTTGTGATTTCCCATATTTTCTCACTTTGGACCCATCTCACATCATTGTTTCGCTCTGCAAAACTCACTAGAAAAGGAGTTTCCTTGGCAACCCATTTAGGTTCCCTTATGTCTCTCTTTCCAACAGAAGTTTTATTTTCCCAATTAATATATTCTGCTTTTAACCTCTTTTGTCTCTAAAATTCATTCTTTGATTTGAGAGAACACAAACTGGTACCAGATATCTAGCAGGTTGGGAGCTTCTTTCTGGTGTATCAGTTTGAGTAGGGTGAAGATGAATGGAAATCAGTCTAGGAAATCCAGTATGTATGCTCTTGCCTAGTGCATCATCAGATTTACTTGATTATGATGATGATGATGATGATGATGATGATGATGATGATGATGATGATGATGTGATTTTCTACCTGTCAGGACAGTGGAAGGAGAAAGGGCTGTAGCATGCTGTTAAAAATTAAATGAATGGAAATGACTCCCCCAGATCCATTGTTTGTAATCTTACCAGCTGGGTTAGGAGGAATTGAGGGACAGGCCTATGCCCACAGGTCTATGAACATTTTGTAAAGTGAAGCCACTGGGAGTGTTTCTTTCCAGATGTACAAGTGAGTAGTAGAAGAGGGAATCAGCTGTCTCAAGCAGGGTTAGCTGCAAATATGGGTTTTAGAAATAGGTGTGTGTGTGTGTGTGTGTGTGTGTGTGTACAATTTCAATTTCCCTGATTGATAGCAATACAGGTGATGAGATCCATGATAGGGAATAGATTTCAGGATGACAAAAGCAATTGGGTTTATAGTCCAAAATATCTAAACTACTTTTAAGGAAATATAAAGATGTAAACAAGTAAACATATTTATTGTTTAAATCTTCTATTTGCATGTCTTTAATTTTGTTGGTGATTAGTAGCTTTCAAATTCAAAGATCTAGAATGCTGTTTAGGGCTGGTGTGGCAGGTATAGGTCTTGAAATGAGCTTCTGGAATAGCATTCCTGGCCCTAGAGAGTGGAGATCCGGGAGGAAACCATTTAATCAGACAGGGACTGGGGTGACCAGGGAAGTCTTTCACGTGTGTGTGTGTGGGGGGTAATTCTTAAACTGAGCTCTGAAGGACAAATTAAAATAGCCATCAAGATAATGTTGGATGAAAATAAGGAACTTTCAAAATCAGAATTATCTAACACACACTGAGTAAAGAGAACCAAAGTTATAAAGAATGGAAACAGAAGTTGAGGAAGACGGGATCTGTTAAGACTCCTGTCTAGAAGTGCAGTACCCCCAAAGCTTCAGACACTCAGAGGTGGGGCTTTCTGGGGTCGCTGGATCTACAGAATGTGATATCTGGATTTGTTCCCTCTTTGGATTAGCAAAGTTCTGGGTATGGATGAATGGATTTACCAAAGAGGAAAGCCCCATCCTGGATGTGGGTGGCACCAATAAATACTTTTGTATATTGGGTGGCATAGAAAGGGACAGAAAGAAGGCAGGTATTGCCATTTGCTGCTTTCTGCCTGTACTAGTATGGACTATTAATTCCTCTGTGATGCCCTTATGTCATGCTGCCCTACCTTGGAGTCAGCCAACTATGAGCTGAAACCTGTAGAAACTGTAAGCTAAAGTAAATCTTTTTTCCTTTAACCTGTGGGTGTTAAAGGAAAAAAGAGGAGAAGTGTTGGAATTTTGTTGTTTGTGATTTTTTTGGTCCCAGCAATGAGAATTTATTTATTTAATTTTTTTTACGAACTTAAGGCAGGGTCTACAGGGTATACAGGGCCTCACTACATACATCAGACTCAGTGATTCTTCTGTTTTCAGCCTTACAAGTGCTGGGACTACAGAAGGGTGCCACCATGCCCAGTCTCAGTCAACATCTCAGTATGCTCCATGTCAGGGCTGGCACAGCATGCTGTGCATTGAACCCCAGCTGCTGTGCTCTGCCTAAGCAGGTGTTTTAATCCACTGAGGTATCTGGCCAGCCCTCCAGAAATGAGAATTTAACTAACATGATGTCTTAAAACCAGATGGAGATAAAAATTTTTAAGAAGGTAGGAGATAGGAACAGTAAAAGGACATGATTACATGTAAATAGGGCAGGAGAATAGAGTGAGTTCCAGTTTGGTTTGGGGATTTTTTTTTTCCTCTTTTTTTTCCCAGTATAGTAAATTGAGAAATTCTAAGAGGTTTATGAAGTGTGTGTGTGTGTGTGTGTGTGTGTGTGTGTGTGTGTGTGTTGGGGAGGAGTTAGAGAATTGAGAAAGGAGCATTTCTCTTTCCCATTTTTGCTAATAGCAAAATGAGGTGAATGGAGCTTAATCCTGGTTTCATGCGTTTGAGGCCAGTACTCCTAAAGTGCTTTTGCTTTCATATTCATGTTAGTTAAATCTTCACTTTCACAGTGAAGAAAAAAACTGGACAATCCAGAAAAGTGATTGAATTTAAAAAAGATTTTATTGACCTATAAGCAGTGAATGTGAGACCAGTGGATACTAACTAAAACTTCTTAATTAACTATGTTAGTCTAAAAATACACATTAGAAATGTTAAGTGATTGACCATTTGGTATATCACTTTCTGGGAAAGACACATTTTATGTCCTATAAAAACTTGTAATCCATTTGGAGAGACAAAGAAAAGTTGGTGCTTACAGTTAAGCCAAAAAAGGTCATGAAAATGACAGAGTATAACCTTAGACAAACGAACTAGACATGTTTCAACTATTGTTTACTTCAACTACTTTTATATCATAAGCCAGAGGTCCTTCAATGGAAAATCCTAGGTAGAAAGAGACTTTTTCTATGTTTCCACCACTTCTGAGTGGATCTGAATACACAGATGTCACTGGTATTTTTATTTTTTCTGTTGTTCCATATTCTACAGAGATTAACTTGCCTTCAGCCTGACCACTTAGGCGGCGCAGGAGGTGTTTGACTTCATCTGTTTTCCACACATCTCCACTCTGCCAGAAGGAATTTGTATTTTTTCCTTTACTAATGTCTTTCTCTATTTCGGCCTTGTGAACAAGACTATTGAGACCCTTCCTGGTTCCCAGATAGAAGAGTGTGCTTGCCTGCTTGGATCTGCACATGCGCTTGTACTGGCCCCTGAAGGATCTATTTAAGGATGAGACATACTTTTGCATTAGTTTAGAATCTTGATCTAGTTCGTGATTATCTGGCCAGAACAGGAGACAGGCCAAGAAATAAGGATTTGGATATTGATGATTAAGTCCTACAACATTCAGGACTTCTCGGAGCTGTTGTTTTAGTACACTAAGTGGTTGGATGGACTTGGATATGGGTTTTAAACAGCTGAGAATAATGTTGGCCAAAATGAAATTTAATTTCTCCTTTACTGGTCGTTTATTTGGGTTTTGCTGCAATAAGAAGTTATATTCATTCACTATATTTTCCATGGTGGTTTCAGCTTCTTTGTGGTTTGGATCAAGATATCCAAGGAGTCCAGAAAACCTATCTGCTCTCCAAGCTTCTAGACGTTTTCTGCAATTCTCTTCATGGAGTAACCTATTCTCTTTTCCTTGTAATGGAGTCATATCCACATGACAGAAAAGTTTTGAATATTTCTTGAAAAGTTCTGTGTATTTCTTGTTTACTTTGAATTCTGTCATTTCTTTTTGGGCACTCCTTGTTTTCAGGAGAACCGTGTAGTCACTAAAAAAATGAAAACACTTTATCACATCTGCTTGCAAATTTTGTAGATGGGCTGTGAATTTGCTAAGAGTCAAATAATACTCATTTTTTTGATCAAGAGGTATGTTTCCCTTTCCAGATAAAAACTGTACCATGGATTTCTGAGATGATTCATTTTCTTTGTGGAAGAAGGGAGTAAGCTGAAGAATCTCAATGGTGTAAAGATTGACTTCTATTTCACCCAGGAAGCCAGCTGTGTTGTACGTGTCATATCTTCTTTGGGGCTTCTGGGGTGACCAGGCCTCAGTTTCATAATCTTTACTATCAGTTTGCTGCTGGGATTCTTTGAAAGCTCTTGAAGCTTTTTCAGCAGCTTCCAGTAAATGTCTTAGATCTTTAACAGCAATGTTCTTACAGTTTTTGTTGTTATCTAGCCACCATTTGATCTCACTTTTGTAAACCTGACCAAGTGTGTCTGAGATATAGGAATTTTTGGGTGCTCTGCTTTTGGCCAAATTTGCCCATTCTAGAGCAGCATTAAAGTCCTTCTCTTTAATATAGAAATGCCTTGCTAAAGCTTGACAAATAAATGCATTTTGTGGGAATCGGTGACTTCCTGTAATCAAGATCTTTTCAATTTCTTTGTTCTGCAAAGTTTCAATCAGTGGGGAAAACAAAGTGTCTGTTTCTGCTCCGTGCTCTTTGCGCTGGCGTGTAAGCAGAAGTGTCTGAACATCATGTTGAAATTTGTCCCTTCCTATTCCAGAATCATAGAACACATTCTCATTTAACATGTTCAATGCAATTTGACATTTGTCCAAGCAATAGCTCTTTTCCAGTTCTTTTAGACAGCATTCAGCAATCAGAGGGTGAATGATACGCACACCTGTGTATCTTCCATATTCAGCAACTTCTGTGTTTATTAGAAGTGTATAATACGCTCCCATCTTGTCTTCTAGGCTTTCGGGCTTCCAAGGTGTACTAGAGCATGTGATTCCTAAGAATATTTCACACTGTGACAATGAAATTGTAGAATCAGTAACGTAAGAATTGAGTAAAGCCAGGAAGGAAATAAGTTGAGCTTCTTTGCTGTGAACATTCTGTTCTTTTAGTATGTTTCTTACTAAGTTTTCTATATATGCTTTATCAAAATTGCCTTTCATGATCATGAAGGAATAAAAGTTTTCACAGTTCTTGTGTTGCTTTTCAATTTCTTCTAGCTTTGCCTCAAAAGCTCTTTGTTCCTTGGCAGAAAGAGTATATGTTAGTGAAATACTATTTGGTAATTTTGCACTTTTATCTGGATTCTGGGATCGCATGCAGTTTAAGATAATTACCAGTGTTTTTTCGTATTGCAAATCCTTCTCTACTAAAGTGGAATGGATGGCATTCTGTAGAATGAACACATTTTCCTGTTCTTCAAAATCATCCACAAGTAGAAGCACAGGAATATAATCCTGGTGGCTAATTGTCTTATAGGTTATCAAGTTGCTCACTTGTTCTCCAACTTCTGCAAAATCGATTGCTTTGTTTTTTAATACAGCACATCTATAGTTTTGCTTTAGGTCCCAAAGAACATGCATAGCCAGTGTGGTACCCCCACAGCCTGGGTGGTGATAAAGATTGATGATTTTTGCAAATTCTGGTTTAGTACATTTTGCACAGCGTCCTATTAAATCTTTAAGGTTTTTATACATGTTTCTTTTCACAAAGGCTGAAGAATAATTTTCAGAAGAAAAGTAGAAGTTCCACCAGGATACTTTGCCACCTCGATAAAAGTGTTCTTCTTTTGCTTTCCTAAATTCTAGGAATTTGGATTCGTTTTTCTCTATTTGTGTGTCCTTACATTCATTTTCAGAAAGGATTTGGAGTGCTGTTAAAAGATCCTCTTCCTTTTTCTCAAGAATAACTGAGGAAGATCCATATGAGGGCAAAAACTTTCTTGATGACTGAGTCACTGATTTTAGTTTGAGGATAGTACTGTTCACTAGCTCTATATTTAAAGTGGAGACACTGTGGTTTGCTAATTCATCTGCAATTCTCAATCTTGTTTGGAGTAGATCTTTCCATCGCTGGTAAATCTTTGGGTTGACACAGATGCACAACATATTTTCCATTCCTTTGAGAGCTTGATAGAAAACACAGAAAGTTTCTGTGAATGGATCTCCTGGGCTTTCCACTGAAGACAGTAAGAGGAACACCACTAAAAATTTTCCTCTTGCCATTAAATTTTCATCTGTGAGAAAAAAAATCAGGTTTCTAACCTCCCATGCTCTATCTCTCTGCCATAAATGTGATTCTAGAGGTTTATATAGCTCACTTTGCAGGTCTGATCGGCCATTACAGAAGATCCAGCTGGTTTGCTCATAAAGATTCAGATTGGAAATCTTCTCTCTCATGGTGGTTTTCTTTTCTTCATACTGACTTGGAAAGTGCATGTTTGCTACTCGGCTTTTCTGGTAAGCTTTTGCCACTCCATTGACCCTAGATTCAGGATCAAACTCCAACACAGCAAACCATTTAATTTCTTTTAGAAAATCCAAGTGCTGTATTTGATTTGGGTGACATTTATTTGTTACAAGAATGTATGAGTTATAGTAGGAATTATCCAGGGAGTCTCGGTTTCCAATGAGAAGTTTAACCAGCTTTAGTCCTTCACTTTCTCTCTTGGTTGCCTTCATTCGGTGTTCTTCTTCAGCATCTTTTCTAGATGCTACTACACATGACTGTAAATTTTCCAAAAATGCTTTAAAATCTGTATCCCGTTGCTTGGGATTGGCCAGGATATCCTTGGAGCTGGCTCCATCTCTCACAAACAGTGAATGATCTTGGCTTTGTTTCCATATATTGTCTGTTTGGATTTGCATCTTAATATAGAAATACTTTTGTTTGCACACAGAGTGCTTGGGAATGATATCCACTTCAATGACAAACCTGTCTGATAGAGTATTGTTCTGTAGTAAGACCTCCACAAACCTTGGCTGCCGAATACACTTCTTGGCTTCACTGATGTCACTTTCTTCAAAATATTTTTTGATCATTTGATTGAAATGATCAATGAAGGCAGCCTTATTGGTGACTTTCACACCAACAATCTCTCCATGTTCTGCATGGGGTTTGTCTTTGACTCCGAAATGGATGGTGCCATTGGAGCGTGAATTCATACAAGCTGATGCAAATTTAAAGACTTCATTGCTAAATTTCATTTTAATGTCCTTTTCTGTGGCATTTTCTGTATTTGTCAAAGCTTTGAACTCATGGATGGGGTCGATGAGATTGAGTGGTCCTGTTTCAGGTTGTAGGATGTAATGTTCTATGTATCTTTGACTGTCATGGAAGTTATCAAAAGGATATGGAATACAGGGTAGCTTTTCAGTTTTTGGTTGATTTGTTTCCTTGTCTTTAATGTTTGTGTCTTTACTTACTGGATTTCTTTTCATAAGAATAGATTCTTGGCCTTCAGTTTTCCTGTTCTCTCTGAGATCTTGATCTATATCAGATGACATTAATTCTTGGCTCTCTTTTTGTGTCGGTTTTGGCTTTTTTTTACGTCTTTTTTTGGAGGATTCTGTATCATCAAATTGTCTGGAATCAGGATTGTCACTTTCAGGGAAACTTGTTTTCAATTTGTCATATGTACGTTTTATCAAAAGTGCCGGACCCGGTGGCAGCCCCATTTTTTCGAGATCCTCCTCAGTTAATTCCTCTAGTACTAATCCTGTCACTTCTGCATTGAAAAGAATTTGTCCATATTTTTTGTCAATCTTAAGCTCTTCTGTTACCCATTTTGTAACATCTTCTTTGGTCCAGTTTTTGATCATTTCAGGCAGAGTTACTTGTTCATTCATGGCAGAACTTTGACTTTGTTCCTTGAAAAAAATAATATAGTAATTATTTTGGTATCATACATCATTGAAGTTAAATATTCAAGTAAATATATTATCCTGTACACATAATACATATGTATAATATTTTTCAAGGCTGACAAAACTGATACTATTATTGATAGTTAAGTTATTTAGAAATATTGTAGGCAGTCAGACAGGGTTGAGATCTTGAAGAAAGTGAGATCAATGAAGCCAAGAAGTGTATTTGGGAGCCAAGGTTTGTGGAAGTCTTACTTCAGAACAACACCTTCTCAGAAAGGTTTGTCATTGAAGTGGATATCATTCCCAAACACTCTGTATGTGTTATGGTTTGTGTCTAGTCGTCCTCGCAAAGCCTCATGCAGTCATCTTGTGGGGTTTGATTCTTGTGATTGATTCTTTATTTTATTTATTTTTTATTCATTTTAATGACGAAAGAAGACTATACTTGTTGTAATCTTATTGTGACTATACTTGTTGTAATCTTATTGGTTGACCATAGTTTTATTCTTTATTTTATTTATTTTTTATTCATTTTAATGAGAAAAGAAGATAAAATAGCAATGAACAGTTTCAACACAGGTTAGTAGGATGGTTATAATAATTAGTACATTGGATATTATCTTCCTAGTAGTTATTCAAAGGACAAGATGCAGACATGATATCTTGTCTAAACAATATTAGTACAAACTTTTATTCTCAATGAACAAAGAGAAAGTGGCTATATATCTATCCTAACTCTCTTGTATATATATATATATATATTTTTCTCTTTCTTTTTTCATGAATGACACTATGTTGCCTAGCAACTGATAGCTAACCTTAACCAGACAGAGTGTTCCTCTTAGGAGTGAGGTAGCTTGTTTGCTTAGACACTGGACCAAGTCCCACCTACATATATTTGATCAATTTACTAGCTTTGTGGCTCCCAACATATCCCCCTTTTTCATTTTGTTTTGTCAGAGATGATGTATAGTGTGCCCAAGGAGAGTCACCTAGAGAGAAAAAATTCTTTCATGCTTTTACAGAGAGCAAACTGGTTAAGCAATGGCTGTGACTCATCCAGATGGCTGACATTGACAAAAGGTGCTGTATATGGTTTCAGGGTAAATCCTGAGGGGATTTGACTGACCTTGTTAGACACAAAAGTTACATTTTTAGTTATATAGGTCTTGCTTTAACTTGGTCTTAACCATCCAGCAGAAAACTATAACCACGATTTAAAAAGTAATGCCATATTAATATGCTGAGCTCTAAAAGGCTCAAGTCAACAACTTCTGACATTGCCATTTCAGCTGATAACCCTTTACTATTATGGACTATTGGACTATATTGGGCTATTTTGCTGAATTCAAGTGCCTACAATCTTTAGACTGGCTTCATATATAAAAAGGTCCTTTAAAGACCTCCAAATACAGTTTCTCTAACCTCAGTGTGATTAATTCTTAATCCAGTGCTGGCACTGCAGGTGTGAGTGCTCCATGAAGGCCCTGAGGTGCATAATTTGCATTACAATGTAAGTGGGGGAGAGAGGCTAGCTAGCTCCCTGAGCTGCTGCCATTCTCTTGCTCACTGCCACCACCATAGAGGGCTGTTCTCTGTGATGTGCCACTCTTCCTTGGAGCCAGCTGAGTATGGACTGAACCTCCACTAACTTGGGTGTTGGGTATCTTGTCCCAGCAACAAGAAAAGAGTACTGAGACAGTGTGCAAAGAAAAATATTTCTACATTGAGATGCAAAGTCAGACAGATAATATATGGAAACAAAGTCAGTGCAGAAGACAACTATGGCTGGAAATAGGCATCAACAATAGAGGACCAAAATGTCTTTAACCCACTCCTTCCAGGAAAGTCCTTGTTCCTTCCATGTGTGCTTGCTATGGAACTTGCTCCCCTTTGGATCCCTATTTAGTAAGTATTACTTAAGTGACTATACTTGTTGTAATCTTATTGGTTGACCATAGTTTTATCTTACCTCACACCTATCCTATCACTTTTTTCTGAAGCAACTATATGTATAATATTATTCATTGATTATAGCCCTGCCCCACCTTGAACCTGACTTACCTTGTAACTTTGATCAGTAAACACCTTTGAGAAGTGCATAGATGGGCAACCCACTTTCCAGGCCCTCTTATGTCCCTCTTGGAGAGAAGTTTTCTTTTTCTTAATAAATTCTTCCTGTTCTTAACCTCTGTAGTTATTAGAATTTATTCCTGATTTTAGAGAACACAAACTGTGTTTTGGACATTTAGCAGGTGGGGAGATTTTTCTCCTTATACCAATGCTTACTAGTTTTACAGTATTAGTTAATATTTTTTGGTGATTGTATTTATGATTATGAAATAAGTAGTAGCTTCAAGTTAGGAGATATGCCCTTTTATCCTTTCATATATTTCATGTATTCTGCATTGTAACTCACATAGGTAATCAAAATTGTCATCCTTGTTTGTGAATTGCTTATGCCTTGAACTTTTATGCTTTGTGTCCTTTGTATATTATCTTCTATTAAAATGATGGTAAGTTGGGAACATGGGAAAATTTTGTTTCTTTGATGAGACATTTTATTTCTGTTTTGTATGTGTTGCATTTTACATAGTCACTATATTTATTGGTGTTCCTTGTTTGACCTCTCTGACTGCTGCAGTTTGTTAGCTTATCTCAAACAACAGTGCTAGGAAAAATAATGGTACAGTGTCCCCTCATGAGCTTTGATATGAAATATTATAAAACATGTCTCTTTGTGAACTCTAGTTTATGTTTAGAAAATATACATGCCTACTGATAAGTCACAGAACTTCTTCTGCCTGTTAAAAAGCAACATTCCAGCAGCCCTTCTTAAAACTTGGGGGACAGGTTTCACTAAGAGATTGGCTCTGATCCTCTCTGCACTTAGAGGGAATGTCAAATCTATTCTGCTTTTAGTTTTTTTCTTATCTAATCTCATTTTTGATCTTTCCTGCTACTTTGCACTGCCTTTTTTGGAGCTATGTAAGATTAGAGAGAGGAGTATTCTAAACTGCTCCAACCTTTTCCTCCTATCAAACAACTAACAGCTTTTTAAGTGGAGGCCTTAGAAATGAACATTTGTTAACACTGAAGACAAGGAAGTCATCTCAAATGAAGACAGCTCAAGAATTTGTCTGTCCTTATAGACCTATAACCAGCATTTGTTACTCTGCCAGCTAGTTAAATGCTCTTACAGCAGCTGCCCCTCTTAAAGCAGAGGACAGCTTCCCTAGTACCTTCTGGTAAATATCCATTGAAGCCAAGTACCAATAGAATGCTGACCAGACAGGAAGCTGAATTCCTTGCTGGAAACAGATCTAGTTGCATGGACTAGTGAAAGCTGAGAAAACAATTGAGTCATGGCTAGGGGAACTCTGGAAGGTACTCAGGGTTCCTCAGTGGAAGCTGGGTCCCGGAAGCTCAACTAAGTAATCAGCAGAAAAATGTCCATTTACCAATCACCCCTATCTGAACTCCTGAGAAATTTTTGTCTGCAAGTAAGTTAAAAACTGCCCCTAAGTTTTTCTGTAGCTCCTTGAGAGTTAACTTCAGAACCACTTTGAAGTTAGACTGTCCTCTCAAGAAGTGAGACTCCAGAAACTTGCAATAACTATTTGCCTTTTATGGAGAATAGCTAGTGATTATACTTGTGCCTTACGTATGCTAGATAAGAGTAAAAATGTTATTTTAGTCAGTGTTTCTGTTTCACGTGCATGTAGAAAATTCATAGATGTGATGTCTACTAACATGTGAATTGTGGTGCCTAGGAAAAGGATATGCTTAAACTATAAGCTTTAAACACAGAAATTTTAGAGATGATTTTGAGTAAAAATGAGCTTTGTCTTGCTGCTAGAGAAGTCTGCCTAGCAGATAAGATAGATAACAAAAATATCTTAGAAACTTCTTTGCCTTAGGGAAGGATTTTTCTCTGAGCCACTGACTCTAAAGGCGATCTCTTTTGCCTGTTAGGAGCCGCTCTAACTACTGCTAACTCACTATTTGATAATTGCCCTCACTCTCATTTATTTATTTATTTATTTATTTTGCCAAACATGATGATTTTATTGTTATTTCAGCCCTTGTTCTTATCTTTATATCCATCATCAAACCTGTTCCTTTGCATCCTTCACAAGCAAATAGAAATTCTATCTTTGGTGAAATCCCATCCCAATGTCACTTCTACACTCCCATCACCACTGTTGAAATGAAATAGTTTTTCAAAACTCACAGTGCAGTAATGAGTAGCTGTAGTTTCATACTCTTAGCCCACTGTTTTT